TCTAGAGGCTACGGTGTGAAGGGCCTTTGCAATTGACCAAGGGGCATGTTCTAGATAATATACTTTTATTTTTGTATATGAACCACTCCATATGCTTTGCAAGGCTGAGCTAGGACTGTCATTTTATTTATAGTCTCCCTTTCTCCTTCCCTCTTCTATTTGGGATCAAAATCAGGGGTCCCCATGATCCTAGGTAAGCATTCTCTCAGAGGGCAACACCCCAGCATTGAAGTCTTATTATTAAACTTCATTATCATTGTTATTGTTAAAAGGTACCAGAAGAAAGGAACTCTTGAGAAGCCTGAACAAGCTAAATGGAGTCTTTATTTACCACCAGTGGGGTGTGTTGGACCGATTAGCAGGAAGCACCCCCAATTTCCAGTTGGTTTGATTTCTAAAAAGCAAAAAAAAATGCAAATGTGTTGCTTACAGAAGAGAAGAGATTGCTGTTAGATGATCAGCGGTTAACCTTTAGCTTAGGGTCACATGGTTTAGGAATTTAGGGCTGTTCCAGAAACCAATTTTATTCAAGACAGATTTAGCATTTGTAGTAGTCTTAGGAATACTTTGATAAGATAACTCTAGTTCAAGAGCCTACTACAGTTATCATCCTCTGTGACGAAACAACATGTGTACCTTTCTTGATCTGTGAAATAACACAAATACACCAACTCTTTCTGGAGCTTACTATCAATCTTACTACAGCAAATTACCATTGCAACCCAATCTATCTTTGCCAAAATAAAATAAGACTAGGTACTTTTGTCACTATATGGAATGTGCAACCAATGCCATTTAAAGAAGCAAGGTTTTATTTTGATTCATAGTTCCACAGAATTTTTAGTCCATCATTGTTGGTGGAGATCGCTCATTTGTTCCCAGCTGCCTAAACTCAAAATAATCATACAGAAACTGTATTGTTTAAATCACTGCTCTAATTTATTATTGGCTGGCTCTTACAACCTAAATTAACCCATCTCCATTAATCTGTGTATTGTCACATGGCTGTGGCTTACCTGCAAGGTTCTATCATGTGTGTCTCTGGCAGTGGCTACATGGCATCTTGCAACTCCATCTTCTTTCTCGCAGCATTCAGTTTAGTTTTCCCTGCCTAGCTCTACTCTGCCCTATCACAGACCAAGGAAAAAAACTTCTTTATTTATTAACCAATGAAAAGAACACATATACAGAAGGACTTCCCACACTATGTCATGGTCAGGATGGCATGGTGGTAGCAGTGGTTCAGTCAGCCCCTACTGGTGGGAGCATAGGGTGACTTCTTACATCAGAGCAGGCAGGAAGCAGAGAATAGTACCCAAAGAAGGCTAATAACACAGTGTCTCTCAGGGTCTGATTTCTGCCATTCAGAATCCTGATCTCAAAGGTTTCCATCACCTCCCAAACATTACCACCAACAACCAAGAGTTCAAATCCATGAGCCTATGGGGAACACTTGATCTTCAATCTATAGCACCGTCCATGGTTGGTTAAGGTTCCTTCTTGAGGCAAGTTGCTGGAGAAAGGAGGGGTTTCAGTGAGGCTCTCTGCCATGCACACATTTGGGCCATGTCTGGGTATACTGTTAATGGAATGACAAATGCTTGCTAGTAACTCAGCAGTCCTTTTCTTCTCACCTTCCCCAAGGTTGCTCAAATTTTTAAGTTAGAAAATTTATGATTGTATGGTAAAATCTTATTATCCTTTCTATGGCCAATGTAAGTTCTGGAATCCTGGGCCAAGCTTTGTATCCTGTTCATAAGAATGAAATTAAAAGACATGTGTGAAGATTTAAATCTTTATTTCATATCACTTTTTTCTTTGATTGTTTGTCTGACTTTTCCGCAAAGACAATATTTTCAAAACTTTGCAAGTTAAGTGACTGGTAATCATTTGATGTTGTGGTTCCTGCATTAACTCACATTCCAAGGGTCCAGGTCTTTGGCCATAGCTAAAACCTACTTGGAAAGGAGATTTCATGGAACATCCCATGAACTTTAGTTATGGTTCAGAACTGCAGTACAACTGCAAGGTTGACCACCCAGCATTCATGATGCAAACTGAGCACAGCCAGGAATATTGCCCATCACATGTCTGCTATGCAAGTTGAATATGCTCAGATGTGTTCCTGCCTCCATTTTCCCTCTTGAACTATGACCTTCCACTGAGTGTGCTCAGTAGCATCCATCTAACTTGTCCTGAGGTGCTTTCCCAGAACTATATGTACAGGTTTTCCAGATAAATTTCCTACACTCCCCTGCCCAGTGGTCTTGCATGGTCTTGCATCATTTTTCAAAGTCTCCTCACCAGCTTCAGGCAATCTTTCTCTACTCTCTTGTCTCTTGATCATGCTTGTTTTGCCTTCCTGACCATGGGATTCAAGTTCATTATGTGGGGTAAGAGTCCCAGTTTTGGTTTTTGTTGTTATTGCTTGGTTTCTTTTATTTTTTGGCTTTTTTTTGAAAAACAATATACATTCATCACACAGAATGTTTTAGCTTTTATTTTAGACTGAAATCTGCAGTTGATTAGCAAATCCCTGTATTTCTTGAAAAAGCATAAAAACCACATTTTCAATTACACTAAATTAAATAAAACCAAATCCACATTTTTAAATATGAGAAGTGGTAAAGCCAGACAGCGTAGTTTACACAGGCTGTTAGAATTAACATGGAATTATAAATTCTACTCCTGCATGACTTGTTTGCTTATTTATTCTATGTATTACCTAAGGCATAAAGGGCAGGTATTACACATACTGTCAGGACTCCCAAGTCTCACAAAATGGTGATGGCCTGAAAGTGATACAGTGATAACCAGAAACCTAGGAAGCCAAAGTGACACTGATACTGAGTTCTCTTGTGCAAACTAGCTTGCCAGTCTGTACCTGGATGTGAGGGAAGGGACAAAATAATACCCATACCTGTGTTTCTCCACCAGCATCCAGAGACCACAGGAGAGAGACAGGCCCATCTCAGGAAGGGGTGATGCAATGAACAGAGAACTACCTGAGCCTCCCTCTGATCTGTGCTGTTGCTACGCTAGAGAAGGCAAATTTCGAATTAAGGTGATGGCGTTTGGCATCTGTGGTCAAAGTTCCATCATAGCTTTTATCCATCGCCCTGTGCAATATAAATGTCACTCAACTTTAAAGCCTATTTTTGAAAAATTACAGAGCACTCATACAAGAATTAAATTTTAATGAAATTCCTGTAGAATGTTACCCAGAAATTTATAGACTATGAGCAAATTCCAGATCCTTCTGAAGACACATCAGAGGCTAGTTCTGAAGCCATGACGGTTCAAATGCATGACGGATGGAAAGCTTTATTTTGATCAATTTACTGTTATTTACACACAAGACACACAGCCTCTAGATTAACACTCTCAACTAATAATTATCTTAATTTTCCTACATCTCCAGAACTAAGGAACCAATTCTCATTCACCAAAATCAGAGAGGGGCTTGGATTCCCTCTTGCAAGAGAGCGTTTCCCTTCTGCATATTTTTTTAAATTTATTTATTTATTTATAAAAATTTCCACTTCCTCCCCTCCTCTCCATACCCTCCCATTCCCCGCACTCCCTCTCCTCCTTCCTCTCCAGTCCTAAGAGCAGTCAGGGTTTCCTGTCCTGTGGAAAGTTCAAGTTCCTCCCCCCTCCCTCCAGGTCTAGGAAGGTGAGCATCCAAACACTGGGTCTTGTTTCATCTGTATGTACTGGCTTTTTGGGATCCTTCTGCATATTTTTGAAGGGTCTTTTGAATATAATTAACAGAGAAATTTGTTTGAGTACCAAACTAGGTAAACAAAATCTGATACCAACACTCTTGTTATGCATAAAAATCAAACTTTCCCGTAGGAGACAAACCTTAAAATCATATCATTTCTTCCAATGATTCATCCTAAACACACCATTTAAGACAGTGCAGTCTTTGATGAGTCTGGTCATCCCAGACCTAGTGTCTGAGGTGCAGACTGCAGAGGGCTGGTCAGACCTCTCTCTAAGCTTGTCCAGCTATCCCTGTGGGAAAGCAGAAACAGATGTTCCCTGGGCTTTCAGAGGCAATCCCTAGAACTGAACAAAGCTTAGGAATTCCCTGTGGTTAGAGTGTAAGCAAGGGTCTAGCCTTGAAAAGGCTGGGGTGCCATGTGGGTCTTCTTCCGGGCTGCCCTGAAGGGAGGTCCTGAAAGAATATTCAATAAGTGGAGCCAAGGATGAAACAAGTTGCACTTCTCTAATTTTACAGTCCTCCGAGTAGCCTGTGAGATGAAGATATATGTGTTATTTACAGAGTTCTTCGTCCTGAAAAACTGTACACACAATTAAAATGGTTCAGGTCGTAAGTGAGACCAGTGAAGTCCAGGAGGCAGGAGGGAGGGATGTTTTGGAGTACTTACGGACACCATGAAGGATAGGGATTTTAAGAGCTGTTGGCTGGTTCCCCACCCCCACCCCCTCCCAGAGTAAAAACTGTTCACGGAAACTCGCTGGATACCTGGCTCCTCAAGAGGGCGCTGGAAACCGACTCTGGTGATTTCTCTGGTCTCCTGGCTCTTGGGATCTTTAGGCTGAGTCCAGGGGTTGGAAAGAAGGTTGTCTGGGAGACTGGATGAGTGATTATCTCTATTCTTGTCAGTCATAGTCAGGCTCCAGCCTCCTTCATCATGCATGCTCGACTCCACACCGCTAGTGACCGTGTCTTTAACGCCGTTCCCAGGCAATTAGAATGTTCAGGACAGACTGTTTACCAGAGTGATCAAAATCACTGGCATCTGTCGTGGAAGGTAAAGAAGCAAAATACACAGTCTAGCGCTGAGACGCCGGAGGGGGGCGCCTGCGACATCCTAGGGATGTCCTACTCTGGAGAAGATGAGGGAAGAGTTGGATTCATGTTTCAACAACACTGCCTGTCACTTTCCCTAAGTTCAAGGGTCAAGCTCCGCCCTTAGCTGTAGGGAGAAACCAGTGCCTTGTCCTTACCTAAGCTGCCCTGGGCCTCACCTAAGGGCTGATGAAATCCGGGATCACTCAGTTCTGAGAAGGGTTTGAGGTTCTGTATGCCGGGAAGGGACCTCGGGACGTCCAGGACGTCGGGCCTGCTGCTTGGGGTTCACCTGAAACCAGCTGGCAGTGCCGCCTCGGGTCCACAGGGCATCAGGCAGCACGGCAGGATACCAGCTGCCGAAGGCTCCTGCGGAAGCCGTCATCCAGGAAGGCGTAGAGAAAGGGGTTGAGGCAGCTGTTGGCATAGCTCAGGCTGGTGATGAAGTAAGAGATACCGATGACCAGCGGTGTTTGAGGCAGGTCGGTGGTGAGTGCCACTATGGTGCTCAAGTGGTAAGGCGTCCAGCAGATGAGGCACACGGCCAGGATCGCTGTCACCAACAAGGTCACACGCTTCTTGGCTCGGTCCAGAGCCTTGGCGTGACTGTCTAGGTGGATGGCACGCAGCCGGCACAGCAGGGTGGTATAGAGGGCGCAAATCGTGGAGACCGGGATGGCGAAGCCCAGCACCAGTGTGTACAGGCGGCTGGCACGCCACCAAAAAGCTTCTGGCTGCGGGAAGACCAGCACGCACTGGCGCCGGCCTTGCTCCTCGTCCAGCCGGGCGAACACCGCGAAGGGCAGCACGACCAGAGTCACCAGCACCCACACCGCCAGGCTGACAGCGCGCGCAGCACCGTAAGTGCGCCCCGACACCCGGCGCGACTCGGCTGTGGCCAGCACCACCAGGTAGCGGTCCGCGCTCATGACGGTGAGGAAGTAGAGGCTAGAGAAGGTGTTGTACTGGTCGACGGCCACGATGAGCTTGCACATGACCTCCCCGAAGGGCCAGCGCCTCAGCAGGAAGTCGGCGATGTTGATGGGCAGCACCAGGGTGAAGAGCTCGTCGGCGATAGCCAGGTTGAGGATGAACACGTTGGTGACAGTCTTCATTCGTGGCGCGCGCAGCAGCACGTACAGCACCGCTGAGTTGCCCGCCAGTCCCACCGCGCAGATCACCGCGTAGACGACAGGCACTGCGACCGCCAGTGGCCGGGGCAGCGGCAAAGGCGCGGGGCTCGACCCGTTGGGACAGCCCAGAGCCGAGCCGCCGCACGACACATTGCCCCCGCCAGGCTCGGAGAGCGACAAGTTGTGCATCTTGGCGACGGCAGGGGAGCCGGCGACCACTCCGATTCCACTCAGTATCCCCGCAGGACTCGAGTCTGTAAGTCCGCGTTGACAGGGATCTGCACCCGGGCACTGCCTGAGTCTCTGAGCCTTTCTGTAGCGAAGCACCGGAGGGGGCGTTCCCCGCAAACTACTCAGCCTACTGTCGCCGGGGACTCGTTGGCTGGAAGCAGAATTAAAAACACAGGTTAGATTCCTCCAGGTGTAGCGTTAGGGAGAAGCAAGGTTCAGAGTTGGAGGTGGCTGCTGGGTCCCAAGCCCTTCCCTCCACCTGTCGAGATCTGATTCCAGCCCACTGAATACATCAAAGGAGCTTCTTAACTCCTAAGAACATGTAAATCCACCTCACGCCCTGTTTTAGAGCACCAGGACACACTCGGGTCACCCCACCCCACAGCCGCAAGTTTCCCTGCATGCAGGATAATAGGACTGCCGGCAGCAATCTTTATCTTACCTGGCTGGTCTCACAAAAGATCTGTGCTTCCTGGGGCGGTCAGGGAGGGCTGCCACCGTCTGCTGGAGGATGCTGCAGCAGTGGTGTCTGCCAGCCTGGTCTGCCTCCCTGAGTCTGCCCAGAGGCAGTGTCTCCTAAGAGTCTGAAGTGCAGACAGCACATAGCCACAGTGACTAGTCTCTGTGAACCTGCCACTTCTGTCCATTCCACTCCTAGTAAAAAAAAACAGCGTCCCCCAAAGGCTTCTTTGCTGACTTCCTAGAGTTTTTACCTCAGTTCAATTGGAATCACGAAAAGCTCTCTTGTCGGGAATTGAACCTAAGAACAGCATAGTTGAGATGTTAATATTCTGTTTCAAAAACAGTTGGAGAAAAGGTCCCCATACCAGGTTTTATTTATTCTTCTTTTTTATATTTTATTATTTAAAAAATTTAAATTTAAATATATTTTGATCATATTCTTTCCCTCCCCCAAGTCTTCCAGATCCTCTCAAAATAAACAAAAAACCAATACAACGAACCTAAGAAAACAAAATGAAACAACACTCAAGCAGAAAAAAAACTGTAACCAAATAAAAGGATAAAAATAACTGTGGAGTCCATTATATGTTGGTCAGCTACTCCAGAACTTGAGGCTAGAGTGTCACGCCATTGGAGAAAACAAATTTTCCTTCTCCCAGCAAGTATAAATTTACACTTTAGTGTCTAGGTTTTCGGTCATTTTAGGAAAATATATAACAAAATAAAATATAATAAAATAAAAGAAAAACTATCACATCAAAGTTGGACAGGACACACCAACAGAGTGAAAAGAACCCCAAGAGAAGGGACAAGAAACTGAGACCTACTCATTCACACATTTAAGAATATCATAAGAACATGAAACCAGAAGCCAAGGTACTGAGGACCTGGCACAGACCTGTGCAGGTCCTGTGCATGCTTTTCCACCCTCTGTAAGTTCATATGAGCTCTGCTCCTGCTGATTTAGAGGGTCTTGTTTTCCTGGTGTTCCCCATGCCCTCTGGGGAACTCCTTTTCTCAGGGGATTTCCTGAGCTTCTGATGAAGATGGAATTTAGCACTGATCAAGGAGTATAGTGGAATATCATTAGGAGTCATTTTATCACTGCATCTTTTAAAGAGAAGTATTATTTGGTGTAACCCTAGGTCCCTGTGTTATCTAGTCTCTGGTTCTTGGTCAACCAAGCAGTGTTGGATAAGGGTCCCATCTTGTGGAGTGGGTCATCAGTGCAATCAGGTACTGGTGGTCACTCCCACAAGCTTTGTGTCACCATCGCCTTAGCATATCTTGCAAGCATTACACCATGTAGACCAAAGGACTTGTGGCTGTCTTGCTGCTTACATTTCTCTTTTGCTAGCATACAGACCACCTTTCTGTGCCAAAGACACTAGAACATAGAAGCTTAGGCTTTATGTAGGCACCTACCTGACATCTTCATGTTCAATGAATTGTGTAGGTGTTGTCTTCAGCAACGGAATCTTGCTGTCAGTTTGTGGAGAGCAACCTACAGACTTGACAATAGCCCAAATTTTTGGATTCCCATGGGACCCCTTTGGCCCAAAACTCAATTGGATGTAACCCAATTCTGGTATTTTTTTTTTGCTATTTTTTTTTTTGCTGCTTTGTTTATAATAGCCAGAAATAAAGGAAACAGCTTGGATGTCTGCTATTGGATGAATGGATAATGAAAACATAGAGCACTTACACAGTGGAATATTACCCACATCTTTAAAATGTCAAATCATAAAATTCTCACATATATGGATGAAGTTACAGAAAAAAAGAACATCCTTAGTGAGGAAACTCAGAACCATAAAGATAAATATGGTATGTATTCACTTATAATAATAGCTGTTAAATCAACAATAACCAAGCTACAATCTCCAGAGCGACAGAGGATAGGTCAGAGGGAGGGACTCGAGGGAACAGATACACCATGCCAGAAAGGGAAATAGAATAGATAATAAAAGCTTTGTTTTATGAAAAGACATGGCTAATTCAGGCTGTCTCTCCCCATTACTCGGCAATATCTTTGCTGAAGCACAATTAATAAAAACTCAGAGACAGATATTGGGGTTCAACCTGAAAACCAAAAAAGCAAAGCAAAAACGATTGGCTTTTACCTCAACCTCAGTCTGAAAATGGTGATCCTGCATCCAGGAACCCTCAGAATGAGACTGAACCTGAGACCAAGAGCTGTCTCCTCCCGTTTTATAATCCTCTGTAGTTTGGGGATTAAGGGTGTGCACCACTGTTGCCTGGTTTCTATGGCAAACTAGCATCTTTACTGGGCTTAAATGTGTGTATGATTGCTGCCTCGGCTGTAAGGCTGGTCAGCATGGCTATTTTACTTTTCTGATCTTCAGGCAACATTTATTTATTAAATACAAATGAAATGCCACTACAGTTTAGGTTGTGTTCATATATGAATATATATTAGAAAGCTTCTATTGTGTTAGGTTTCTATACAACCTTTCAAATGCCTGTAACTTGAGCTGCCTCTCGCTGTTCTACCTCCCACTACTCTCTGCCCCCTCCTCCAGCCTCTCCACTCATTCTTTATCATTCATCCCCCTCCATCCATGATTATCTATTCTATTTCCCCTTCCTGGCATGGTGTATCTGTTCCCTCGAGTCCCTCCCTCTAGCCTAGCCTCTGTGGCTCTGCAAATTGTAGCTTGGTTATCGTTGATTTAACAGCTAATATTATATGTGAATACATACCATATTTATCTTTATGGCTCTGAGTTTCCTCACTAAGGGTGTTTCTTTTTTCGTAACTTCATCCATATATTTGAGAACTTCATGATTTGACATTTTTAAGACATGGGTAATGTTCCACTGTATATAAGTGCACCATATTTTCATTATCCATTCATCCAATAATAGACATCTAGGCTGGTTTTTTTGTTATTTTTGGCTGTTATGAACAATGCAGCAATGAACATGTTTAAGCAAGTGGTTTTGTTGTTGTTGTTGTTGTTGTTGTTGTTGTGGGATGAAATTCTTTGTGTATATGCCCGAGTGATATAGCTGGATATTGATGTAGATCGATCTCCATTTTCCTGAAGAACTGCCACACTGATTTGCATACAGGTTGTAAGAAGTTGTCCTCCCATCACCAGTGGATGAGTGTTTCTTCCTCTTTCTCTACATCCTCACCAGCACGAGCTGTCACTTGTTTTGCTGATCCTAACCATTCTGAGAGGTGAAAGATGAAATCTCAAAGTAGCTTCGATCTGATTTCCCTGATGACTAAAGATATAAACATTTCTTCAGTGCTTTTCAGCCATTGAGTTTCCTCTATTGAGAATTGTCTGTTTAGGCTTGTATCCCATTTTTAAAAATGGGTTGTATTCTTTTCTTTTTCAAGACAGGGTTTCTCTGTGTAACAGCCTAACTATCCTGGAACTAGCTGTTGTAAACAGGCTGGCCTCGAACTCACAGAGATCTGTCTACTGCTGCTTCGTGCTAGGATTAAAGGTGTGTGCCACCACCGCCAGCCAAAAAAAAAGAAAAGGAAAGAAAAGAAAAGAAAAAGAAAAAATAGGTTGTGTTCTTAATATCTAGTTTCTTGAGTTCTTTATATATTTTGGTTATTAAAAAATAACCAAATAAAGATTGGATCTGGTTTTCTGTTGAGGTCAGTCTGTGATCCATTTGGAGTTGAGTTTTGTGTAAAAATGTAAAGTAGAGATCTATTTGCATGTTTCCATATGCAGCTATCGAGTTTGACCAGCACCATTCATGAAGATGCTTTCTATTTCCTAGTGTGTTTTTCTGGCTTCTTAATAAAAAAATAAAAACAAGTCAGGCAATGGTGGCGCACGTCTTTAATCCCAGCACTCAGGAGGCAGAGGCAAGTGAATCCCTGGGAGTTTGAGGCCAGCCTGATCTACAAGAGGTAGTTCCAGAACAGCTAGGACTGTTATACATGGAAACTCTGTCTCATAAAACATCAAATAAATAAATTAAAAATTAAAAAAACAGGTGTCCAAAGGTGTGTAGATTTATGTCTGTGTCTTCAGTTCGATTCCATTGATCAATATATTTATTTTGTCACAAGACCATGCTGTTTTTATTACTGTAGGTTTATAGTACAATTTTGACATCAGTGATGGTGTACCTCTAAAGAATTCTTTTATTATTCCAAATTGCTTTAACTTCCCTGGGTTTTCTGTGTTTCCATATGAAGCTGAGAATTGTCGGTAGACCATCTTAGAAGAATTGTGTTGGCTTTTTGATGAGGATTGCACTGGATCTGTAGATTGCTTTCAGTAGGGTGGACATTTTTACTGTGTTAATCCTATAAACCTATGACTGTGATATATCCTTTCATCCCCTGATGTTTTCTCCAATTTCTTTCTTCAGTGACCTGAAATCTTTGTCATTCAAGTCTTTAACTTGTTTTGTTAGAATTATTCCAAGATAGTTTATATTATTGAGGATGTTGTGAAAGGTGTTGTCTCTCTGATTTCTTTCTCAGTCCATTTATC